AGAATCTTCATGATATCGGTTATCGTGATATTTTCTCGCGATTGGTACCGCATGAACTGAGTCAGTCCGACAAGAGCAACCGAATCATGGCCGCTGAGTCTCTTGCTTCGTCCGCATCGGAAGGACTTTTTGGGAGATATAGTGACTGAAGACGAGAGCTGGGTTCTTTATGTGAACCATACACGTAAGCGTCACTGGACTGCCCCAGAAGAAAAGCCGTCTGTACAGCCGAAAGCAGGTCTTCAAAAAGAAGGTTTTACTGTGTTGTTGGTGGGATTGCAGAGGAGATGCTCTTTTGGGAGCTACTCAATACTGGCACCATGGTGACGGCCACAATGTACTCTAATCAACTCCAGAAGCTGGCCGACGTCATGCGAGAAACACGACCAAAAAGGCAAAATGTATTTCTACTTCCATGATAACGCCCGCCCTCATGTGGCAACGAAGACGCGTCAAAAGATTACGGAGCTCGGTTGGGAAGTACTGCCGCATCCAGCTTATTCACCAGACCTAGCACCTTCTGACTATTATCTATTCAGAGCATTGAAGCATCATCTGAAGGACAAAAAATTTGATGATCGACGTCAACTCGAAAACGAGATCGGCCACTTCTTCTCATCACAGCCATTGGAATTCTGGAAGAGAGGGATCGAGAAGCTGCCCGAAAGATGGGGACGTGTCCTTGATAATAACGGTGATTATATTGTTGATTAATGTTTGCTCCCAATAAAGGAATGTGTAATCCAAAAAATTGTTCAAAGTGTCGCAAGACTTTCTTTCCAACCTAATAGTTATGCAGAAATTTTTTCCTGCACTCTGTGGTAGACAGGATTTGCCCCTCCTAACCTGTGTCCCATGATCCATTAGATTCACACGGTTCATTCCTTTATTAAGAAGTTCGCTCATTAGTTGGTCCTTTTTACATTGGGGTTCGACTGCACCAGTTTCCGCCACAATGTCCTAATATCGCTGATTCTTTATGTGAGTAGGTAGAATAACCAGAACTCCATAGCGAGTTTACTTAATTTCAAAATGTCAATCACATTTAATTGCGATCACTAGCCAATTAAGTAGCATACTACGAAAAAGAAACAAGCTTACCAAAGGTGACGATTTGTCTGTAGGCGGACAAGCGGAAATATGCTGTTGTTTCAATTATATAGGAATAAAACCGATGAACTGTGATGAATAGGTAAATCTTTAGAATGGTGTACCATGCGCAGATTATCGTCTTGATAGCTACTTTGGTACGGAAGAACGTTAAAGTCGCTTCATCGTCCTCTAAACCGAAAATATTATAATATGTATTAGCGACAATAAGATTTTGTATAGCCGATGTTGGGTAGAGTGCAGGAGAACCAGCAATGCGGCAAGTGGCGTGGCGCGCTCAACATCCACTGTGGTACCGAACCCAGTGCATAGAACTCGCCATTGAAGCGCTTAGTCTTTTTAAGTTCTCCGGAACTCAAAATAAAACAAAGCAGAACGATCCCAGTGAGCGAACCAACCTGTGATCCCACCAGTCTCCCAGCAGCCTCCTCTCGTTAGTGACCAAGATAAAATGAGACACCATGGACAAGTGAGTGTCCTACGTGTCGTATGTGGTGATCTCACAATCCACATAAAGGAATGAAAGGCAAGAATTCATTGGTTATGGCCATGCATTCATTTCGGTTGTTCAGTCTTGGATTTTTCACGCGGATATAAATACGCCTCTACCATCTTTCTAGCACCGATATCGTTTCAAAGGTTGCATGAGCAGAATGCTGACATCAAGATTTAGAAGAAAAAAGGAGCGGAAATCTGCTCACTCCATTGGCAAGCACCGAGTAGAAGGACATCAAGGCAATGATTTTGAATCAAATGCAAAATTCTAGCTTATGAAAACGACATCGGTGCTAGAAAAATGTTAGAGGCGTTTATATCCGCGTGAAAAATCCAAGACTGAACAACCGAAATGAATGCATGGCCATTACCAATGAATTCTTGCCTTTCATTCCTTTATGTGGATTGTGAGATCACCACATACGACACGTAGGACACTCACTGTCCATGGTGTCTCATTTTATCTTGGTCACTAACGAGAGGAGGCTGCTGGGAGACTGGTGGGATCACAGGTTGGTTCGTTCACTGGGATCGTTCTATTTTGTTTTGTTTTGAGTTCCGGGGAACTGAACAAGATTAGGCGCTTCACCGGGTGAGCTACAGAGCTAGGACTTCGAACCAGTTTCAGGTCCTGAAGACGACGAATTGTCGAAACGTTGACCAATAAACGTGTTCCACCATAACAACCTGTATGGCACAGAAGAAGAAGGACAAAATATCGAAATGCCCAGGTTCCAAGTATACCGAACATGGAATTTTTGCTTTCGATTTTTCTGCAATTTCCATTTTATTTCCATGTCCGGGAGGAAGTCCTCAAAACCCGGAATAAAAGAGGACAACTGCCAAGTGTCAAGCTTTGAAATGCGCGCAGTGATATGAACATACCACACGGCTACAAACCAATCGAGTTCACGCTAAATTGCCACACAACTATGTGAAGGTCCCTACGTTTTTTGTTTGTAGCGCCATGGGTCTCCTGCGTGAAACGGACAATGTGTGAATCGAAAGCACGGGTCGCGATAGAATTGGTGTGTTATTCTGTTGGAAATGTAGACATGAAGTGTGAAGAATAGCGTCAGCAAAGAGTAAAACAAAACGCACCATAAGAAACCCAAATGCTTTTCTTGTAATTCTATCATAGTGCGACGGGGAGACACAGCGCTGTGATGAGAAGGAAACGCGAGAATACTGAACGTACGCGAGAAGGCGCAGACGCCAGTGTGTTGCAGTAGCGGTCGCAGTGGTTAAAGGCAAGCGTCGCGGTGAAATGGGTGGGAAGCCTTCAGTAATGAAGCAGGAAGTGGGGAGTCTTAAAAGAGAAAGAAAGCAAGAGAAACCCCTGATTACCCCGGATAAGGACCTATTCTATTTCAGCCGCATTCCACCTTGGGATAGAGAAGGGGCGTGTTGGACGAGTTTCACGAACTAGCTCCAGTTGCTCCAGTGCCAATGACATTGAACCGCAACGAAACCGCTGCGGTAACCGCGCTCTTCCCACTTCGTCACGTGGCAGCCGACGCAGAAGGGGGTTTTGGTTTTTTGAGGGGGCCGACGAAGGTTTGGATTGCCGTTTGAACGTTCTTCCTTTGTTGTGCACTTCCAAGGGGCACAACATCAACGCTTGCCCGGCTGCCTACTTCGCAATGGAACAGGAGAGCGAGCCTAATCCTGAGCGTGCGTTCAAGTGAAAACATTAGCTCTCTTGTCGTACATCAAGTCGCTACAGAAACCACCTCCGTGATTATTCCTGCTATATTAATCAGGAGAGAATTTTTCTAAAGACCTAGTTGCTACCCGTGCCATTAAAGCAACAATCCCAGGACGAATTTGCGGGTAAATACCGTTGATAATGTAGTTATAGGCGACAATTTGACCGATAGTGACGAAAAAACCAAAGAAAAACGCCGAACAGGGCTTTAAACAGGGACTCCCCTTCTGCCGCTTAGCGATGTGGGAAGACGCGCGTTGGACGAGTTGTCTGAACTTGCCCGCACTAAATGCGCTCCAGTTGCATAACACTAACATAATTACATAACACTATACATAACATAACAACATCACAACAACAAAAAAGAAACAATTCCAGTGCAACAGGCAGGATCACATTGATTACTTTAAAGGACAGAGTTCAAATACTCCCTGTGGTCCCAAAACGAGCACGAATGCCTCCGTAGCCAATCACGGCTGGCAAGTGGGCGGTCCCGAAGAAATTTCCAACCACACCCATCTTTGAGGAGTTTAACGCCCTTTTTAGGCTTTTCCCAGGTGAGTTTTCTTTATAACTACACTTTAGATGTTCTCCAATAGGGCCTGTGCATCCTTTAGTGCCATTAGTATTGAAAGAAGCAGACCCTGCTGGGACTGTTGCTTTAAGGTGAAGCTAGCGCACACAGGGATGTAGGATCTGTATACTGATTCTTCTAAATATGATTATGATTGAACGTGTTGATAGCCTACCTTTAAAAACCATGACGAAGTTAACAAAGCCAATGATCAACAGAAACGCCAGATAAAGAATAATTCTTATAGCAAGGCCACATAGATAACAAGCAATAAACGAAGATCGAAACTGCTTCACTCCTCTCAGAAGAAATAGTACAAACACTGTAAGTAAAACATTCATTTTGGTGCTACTCCTTTCACTGAGTCGGAAATCACTTCAGAAATCAGACTTCTGTCCGTTCCTTCCTTTTCGGATAACTAATGCAGTCATTTTGTTTACTTTAACAACTCCAATGGCTATTATGTAGACTTGGTGATCTACCGCTCGAATTACTGCATTGAACAATAGAGGAGGTGGTTCAAATTGCAAGTTTGATTATTTGCTCTTCGAAACATCATGCTTCGCCTTCAATGCAGAGACCTTGAATTTCAAGCCTGCAATGGGTTGTCCAGTCGAAGGAAATTAGCCTAACTGACAGCTGCTATAACCAAGGTTAACTGTGCGTTGCGCAAATTTCAAAATTTTTACGAACCCCCCCCCTACAGAGGGTATAAGTTTGTACGCCCCTCTCCGATGTATGAGTCAATCGACATAGAAAGAGGTGGTGGGTAGTGGAAAGTTAAAACGACGCATCCTCTGCTCGCTTAGAGGGCAGGACTCGAGACGACATGAAACAACTCTCATATAGTAAAGGTAATTACACCATTTTGCACAAACCTGATTATCTTTATACTCACAAATGACTGCTTACGGGATAATATCAAGCTTTCTTCAAACTTTCGGAATGCCCTTTTTTATAAAGTGGAAAACTAAGCGTTGCAGTAGTTGCAGTTCTCTTCATTTGGAAGGCTACAGGGTGGCTACTAAATATTGGCGCATGGTTATTGACCATATTTCTAAAAGAGAAGCTATTACATCTTCAGAAGTTTATTTTTATATACAGTAGAACATACAATCATTACTAAAGAAAGTGCTCGAAAAGCCTCCTTGCAGCGATACAGGCTTCTTCTCAATTGACATACCGTGGGCCGCAAGAAAGTGACGTCGAGTTCCTTTCACATCTTCTCCAAGGAAGCCTTCAGGGAGTCTAAACTCCGATGTTGCTCTCAGATGAAATTTTTTTTGCTGCAAGAAGCCTGTCCTTAAATCCATTGGGTTCAAATCGGGCGAGTTAGATGGCCAAACGGCTTGTGACCAGTAACCTGGAAAATGACGGTCACAGAACTCCAGCGTAGATTTTGCGGCATGTGAGGCGCCTCAGTCTTGCTGAAGAATGCAGTGACGTTCGCTGAGGTCGAAACAGTCCATGGAAGGAGCACATCACGTAAAATTGTTTCCTGGTAGATCTGGGCGTTAATTTTGACGGATTTGTCCACAAAGACAAGCGGTGTCTTGGTGTCGGAAGTAATTCCTGCCCAAACCATGACAGATTTGGAAATCGGCTCCTTGTGTGAACTCATCGTGGAACAGTATTGCTGCCGAGGGAGGCCATTTCGAGCACCTTCTTAGTAATGCATTGATATGTTTTATTGTATATAAAAATAAACTTCTGAAGATGTAATAGCTTCTCTTTGCAAAAATATGGTCAATAACCATGCGCCAATATTTAGTAGCCACCCTGTGTATGTTTGTTTAGTAGCGTTCTCATGGGACAGGATACAAAAGTTTAGAAAACTCAGACATTTTTTCCTGAAAAGTGTTTGAACTTGTTATGGATGTTCAATATTTTGAAAAATCGTCCCGTTGTTCCGTTTTTTGTGCACACGCGAGTTTTCGACATTCAAACATTCATAACTTTCTTCATAATCAACTTTTTGCAGATGTCTAAGGCTAATTAGAAACTAGAAGATTAGCGCTTTCGAAGAAGTGCCGTCTCTCTCCCAAAGATCTTCTTTTCTCAATGAGTAGCCTCATTGTTCCGTTTTTTCCTTCTATGGGTTTTCAAGAGCATTCTCCTGAAGCACGAAAGCTTCAAACGTCCATAAGCTTTTTTTCAAAATTGGCATTGTAACGAGAAGTGGTGACTATTGACATACACAAGGGTAGCCGCAGTATGGTTGAGAGACTGTCCTCCCACATTGCCATAACTTGGTACCTTTATATTTTGTGACTGATACTTGAGCTTAC